ACAAAATAGTGAAGTCAAATATGATAAGAAGAGTCTTAGACGTGTGATGTTTATTTTATTGGATTCTAAGTTGGTGTAACAAGAGTAGCAGTAGTTTGGTGTTATAGGATTTTCCAGGTTGGTGATTTTTGTTTCTTTTCTTCACCTCAACCCCTCTCCTTCAATTAAGTATTTAAGTATGGTTTTCAATTATCTAAGAATTATGATCATGTTGTTATAATAATATGGACAATACTAAAATTAAAATTCAATATAATAATTTTTTTTTTTTTTAAAATCTCGACATAATAATTCATAATTGGTAAACTCACAATAAATCACATTACATCAAGATTACGAGAGAAAATTTGTAAGATTGAACTGTGAATCAATCTTTTATCGTAATAATACACACACACACGCGCGCGAGGGAATTGAAGCAACAGAGAATAGCTATATATACCTATATATACGAATCATATGATTATTGGAGCATGTGATATCCTTGAATGAATGGTATTTGGTCGTGCCTGAAAATGTGGACATGAGAAAATTTGCCCAATAATCAAACTGTTTGATTCACGAATGTTGATATGTGAAATTACACAGAAACAGTGGCACAGGTTATGGTTTGCCAAGACTCGAAAGACAGAAAACAACAGAGAAGAAAAATACAAAATGGTGAAGAAAGGACAGAAAGACATAAAAGTTACTCAAAGACTGAAAAGGGGACCACCCTCAAATTGGATACAACCGTCGACGTCGTTTTGCCAAATTTTACCAAATTCACATGATACCCCATTTCATAACTCTCATATCAGACCTTTTAAACAGTCAAAAATAAAAATAATAATGGTTAAATTATTCCGTAAATCACTCCATGCCCACCTGAAATATATTTGTCATCACATGCATGCATTTCCTTCCATGATCAATTATTGAAGTTGAATTACTTGTCATTGCTACGTTTACAAGCTATATATGGACTAATAATTATTAATATTTTATGTTGTAACATCAAACATACATCCTTAATGAAGATGCATGGGTTTGGATTGGTTCATAAGTTATACAAAAACCAATTTGTATGAAAAGTAGTATTATACATATTTAATAGCACTTAAGAACAAGGGTTTAAGTTGATGATGGGCAGCACATGGGTGTGTATATATCTAGGGGGTGGGGGGGTAGTTTCAAAGAAGCATTAATGGAGGTTAAATGAGGCTATGGATGATCGTGCATAAGAAAGTGTGAATTTATTAGATGATGGAGAGAAACTATGTTGCATTTAAGTCTATTCAATTCTTTGTCTTCTAACGCATTCATCATCATTTCACTTGGTCAAATCTCTCTACTCTATTAACCTTATAATTTATTAGAATCGAAACAAATCAAATAATAATAAGGTTATTAATGGACCATCGAGAATTAAATCTGATGTTTTGAAAACATCCCAAAGGAAAGGGACCATTAATTAAGAATTTATGTTTAACCCTTGACATAACGTATAAAACGTTTTTCATATGTATACTCCTTGTATTTGAATAATAATTTGATACAAATTTAAACTTATTTGCACATGAGATGAGATGCTACTATATATCACATCCACAAACCTTTTTTTAACTTTAAAACCCAAAACCTTTATTGAAATAGGAGAAACCTGCAACAAAACTCACATAAAGTATTGTTATGCCTAAAAAATTATGTTTATGTCAGTTCAATAAATGTCTTTTTGTACTAGCTGTCAAGCCTATATCTCCTCAAAGATATTCATACCAACTCTATCTCATTTCAAGAGATGAATGGACGAGAGCCTTCCATATGTCAAGGCAACTTGTAAAGCACTCCTTACATTGAGTTTAGAAGTGTATAAATTGGCACTTCTCTTCCCAAAAAAGGGGGTTGGGCATATAAGAGTTAAGCATAGATTTGAGTTCAATTCTTTCTCTTTGTAAACACTGTATTTCTTCATCTTTGTATGTCTTATGGGCAATATCATAGAAATACTCAGAGATCAATAAAATAACATTGAATGTAGGAGTCGCTTGTTTGAGCATCCGAACCACTATAAAAACCTCCATTGTTAGCCTATTATTTATGTTTTCTGCAACATATATAATCTCAGCTCCATATTCAAATCTCATGGATCCATCACGTGTAATTTCTAAGACCCTCATAGCACTTTACACGTGCGAGTCGTTGGCCTCCAAAATCATGCGTCAACAGTTTGGTGGCCCATGCAGGTCTCAAACCTGCGTCCAAGTTCCCTGATAGCGTGCTCAGATCTCAAGCTCGCGCTAGAATCCAATCGCGTGGCCAAATCGTAGATCGCACACGTTAGAATTCTCCAATCGCGTGGTCAGATTGCAGATCGCACGGGCTAGAATTCTCTGATCGCGTGGCCAGATCGCAGATCGCACACGTCAGAATTCTCCGATATCGTGGCCAGATCGCAGATTGCACGCGTCAGAATTCTCCGATCGCGTGGCCAGATCGTAGATCGCACGTGTCAGAATTCTCCGATCGCGTGGCCAGATCGCAAATCGCACACGTCAGAATTTTTCGATCGCGTGGCCAGATCGTACGCGTTAGAGTTCTCCGATCATGTGACCAGATCGCAGATCGCACACATCAGAATTCTTCAATCGCGTGGCCAGATCGTAGATCGCACACTCAGGTCGTCTTAATCTTCGGCTTCAAATCGCTGATCTTTAGCTTCAAATCGCGTATTCAGATCGCTGATCTCTTGCTCTCAGGTCGAGCTCGTTATGCTCAGGTAGAGCTTGTTATGCTCTCAGGTAGAGCTCGTTATTCTTTGAGGTCGAGCTCATTATGCTCTTAGGTAGAGCTCATTATGCTTTCAGGTCGAGCTCGTTATGCTCTCAGGTCGAGCTTGTTATGCTCTCAGGTCGAGATTGTTATGCTTTCAGGCCGAGCTCGTTATGCTTTCAGGTCGAGCTCGTTATGCTCTCAAGTCGAGCTCGTTATGCTTTCAGGTCGAGCTTGTTATGCTTTCAGGTCGAGCTCCTACCAGATCGCGATCAGCTCCTAGCTCTCAGCACTCGATCGCGTCAGGAATAGTTCGAGCTCTTTAGTTCGAGACTGCAGCCTATAGTGCAGCAGTAATTCAGATCAAAGACCTTAGTTTCTGAAGCACGATTACGCACTCCAAAAACTGGGGGGCTTCTGTTATGCCTAAAAAGTCACGCTTATGTCAACTCAATAAATGTCTTTTTGTACTAACTGCCAAGCCCATATCTCCTCAAAGATATTCATACCAACCCTATCTCATTTCAAGAGATGAATGGGTGAGAGCCTTCCATGTGTCAAGGCAACTTGCAAAACACTCCTTACATTGAGTTCAGAGGTGTATAAATTGACACTTCTCTTCCCGAAAAGGGGGGCTGGGCATATGAGAGCTAAACATAGATTTGAGTTCAATTCTTTCTCTCTGTAAACACTGTATTTCTTCATCTTTGTATGTCTTATGGGCAATATCATAGAAATACTCAAAGATCAATAAAATAACAGTGGATATAGGAGTCGTTTGTTTGAGCATCCGAACCACTATAAAAACCTCTATTGTTAGCCTATTATTTATGTTTTCTGCAACATATATAATCTCAGCTCCATATTCAAATCTCATTAATCCATTATGTGTAATTTCTAAGACCCTCTTAGCACTCTGCACATGCGAGTCGTTGGCATCTAAAATCATGCGTCAACAAGTATGTAACATTGTAAGGTCTAAATTTGAATGGTAGAAATGCAAAGATAACAAGAAAGTAAATAAAGTTAGGAAAAAGGGTTATGGAAGAAAATAAATTTGAAAAAGAAAAAAGGGTTAAAAGCAAAAAAAATTGTAGGGGTTGAATTGAAGCAGAAGCATGCCAAAGATATAAATGAACGCACTTCCCCAATAGATTCTGCAGGCGTGAGAGCAAAGGCTGGCGCACCCACCCCACTCTTGCTAACTACACCCTCATGCACTTCTTTTTATATTAATTTGCTTCAATTATATATTTAAAACCATATCACTCCTCCAAATTTCCAAAATATTTTGTCTCCATTTGAAAGATTATATTTATATATGCATAAACAAGAGTTAAGTTTTAAGCTTTACACATCTCAATGTTGTCGCCTCCTCTTGTAACCACAAGCTGTTATCCCAATGACTACCAAACTCAATTTGTCTATAGCTACTTCCTGCCTATACCTATTTATATATAATCTTAAATTAATTGGGAGAAATATTGTTTAAATTTCGGTGCTTTTTCTAGATGCTTGTTTGCTTCCCAGTTTCCATTCTCTTTCTAGTTCTTCTATTCCCACCTCTTTTACTTCAAACTCCTATGACAGAAAGATTCCAACACTTCCTCTATTATTATTATTATTGTAATGGAATTTCGTTATCATTTTAAAATCTCCCAATTGGCATTGTGGAAGAGGAAGTTTATTTATTTATATTTATAAGATTTGATATAAAAGAAATACTAGGTATGTATACGCTTCAATTTTAAATTTCATCCTCACCAACATCACTGTAGAATAGTTATTGTTCCTTTGATTTGAAAGAGCAACCAAAAAGTAAATAAATAAATAAAGTTAGATGGCAGAAATAGCCTTCATTTGACAATGACTTCCCCAACCTCTACTCTTGAAATTAATGGTTTAATCAAGTGTCTGTTTTGGGAGCATTTGATTCAATGTTTCATTTTTTTTAAATTACCAAAAAATTACTAAGAAAATGAATCAATGTAGTATCCGAATCTGGAATGAAATACCATTTATTATAACAATAGATTTTGGTGATTAATGTTACAAAACGTTGCGTTTTTAGAGGCAACAACAGTGAATTGAAGTTGCAGTAGCAAATAGCAATGTCATTTATTCTCCAAGACAGACTCCACGTGGGTAACTCTCAGAGGACTACATCGTAATTTTAACCTCTTCTCCTTTCACAAACGAAAATATAATAAATAAAACTAACCCAACCCATTTAATATCAATCGCGCCATGTCTCTATTCACTCAGCAAACCCAAACAATGCCATGAGATGAGACCCCCAAACCTCTAAACCACAACCGGAAGAGACAACACACAGATAGTCTTCAAATATCTTCCTATTATGGCTGCTGCCTGGGTCAAGTCTTTACAGTGCAAATCACGAGCATACGATGACGTTTTTCATCCCACCTCCAAAAATCTCTTACCCAGTTCCAGTTGCAGAAGATCCGACGTCATCGAAACTACGACCAAGAAGAAGCAATATCAAAAACCTAAAACTTTTAAACCGCCAGCAAAGCCAGAACCTGGTTTCAACTCCACCATCAGACCTCGTCACAGTCACGGAGCAACTGATCGTCCCGTACGGAACCCCGAACATCCTAAATTTCCTGCGCTGACGGAGCTTCCCGAGGGCCACCCTTCACGTAATGTAGTAGAGATTATATTCCACACTAGTTGGGGGCCGAAAGCATTTTCGGGTCGGGTTGACATGATATTCAAGGTGCAGAATGGGCCGAGGACAGTGGCCCGATTCGAGGAGTATAGAAAGTTGGTGAAGAGTCGGTGCGGGACGGGTTTGGCTCCGGGTAGTCCGAGCGAGGAGGAGAATGCGAGGTGCGTGGCGGATGGGAATGAGGTAATGAGGTTTTACTGCTTGGGACCCACGTTTGATAATAGTGGGTACGGGGCGTTGGGTTTTCCGGGCGGGAAAGGATCGGCGATTTGCACATATTCTGGGAGCAGTGGGGCCCACGAGAGCGCCGGCGGAGGTAGAGGGAGGAGGGCCATGTTGGTTTGTCGGGTCATTGCGGGTAGGGTTTCGAAGCAAATCGGGTTTGACTCGGTGAGTGGGGAGAACGGCGAGTTGCTTGTATTGGACTCACGCGCGGTGTTGCCCTGTTTTCTCATTATCTACAAATTGTAAAATTAATGGAATTGTTTTTATGGTTTATTATCGGGTATATTTTATGTGGGTTTTTAATTTTATTTTATTTTTTTTTGTTTATGCTGTGAATGCATTTATCAGCACAATTTTTTCTTTATTATTATTTTTTTAATTTTTGTTATTGGATTGTGGATAATATTGATTTGGTGAGTATGAAAAAATTGAGTTGATAAATGCTAATTAATGAGTCTACTCTTGTAATATTTGTTAGTAAATGCTACTGATGAATTACTTTACACGTCTCTTTAGTAATAATTAATTGCATTGAGAGCGTTTCTGGTGCATCAAATGAAAATCATAAATGGTAATTAAGATGAAACGGTTGGTGTTTATAAAGATGTATTTGTTAAGGGATATGAATACCAAATGGAATTCTAATGATGGTAGTGTATCCATCAAAGGAATTTTCATTTTGATGTTTCTGTTGGTTCAAATCCATAATCTTAGGCTATATAATAGCAAAAGTTTTATGTTTGAAGAAAGGTTGGTTTTGGTGAAGGTTATAGATTTAGTCAAAAGTGTACATCATAAAATTCAAAACAATCATAATCACACATTAGAAACGTGGAATAAATAGAAGATCAGCATTTGTGATAGTAGTAACTTGTTCACCAAACTCTCCTTGTTAGACTTAGGGTCTTAACTTGGCATTTAATAGAAAAGAAAAAGAGGAGGGGATAAAGTAAAAGTAGTTAAGAGGAGGATGAGCTTACTTCCCTTGACAGAAAATAAAAGAATGAGATGGTTATATAGTCACCATCTTCGATTGATACATAAAACCTTGCATCACAATCCAATTCATATCTTTTGGTATTTCTATGGTAGCTTTCCTCAAATCAACCTTACATCACAATCCAATTCATATCTTTTGGTATTTCTATGGTAGCTTTCCTCAAATCATTTGAACAATCCCTTTTAACTCTTCGTTTTCACCTCAACACCTTCACATTTTGCTCTAGTTCCAATTTTACTATCCACTTGACAAGAATTCATGTCTATGTTTTGCATGGCTTTATCGAACATTGAAGTTAATGTTGTTTGTGCCTATGGCAATGGGCTATAAAGCTTCATAAATTTCTATGTTTTTATAAGCTTCAATTTGTTGAAATGGAGACTTGGGAATGCTGTTTTTCAATTGAAATGTTGCTCTGAAGTGTGAAGAAAGCAATTGCTTTCTCAGAATAGTAAATTAGTTAAAAGTTTTAATCAAAATATGGGCACAAAAAACATCGGACCCATTTCGTATTTATTCAATAGTCCCAACTTATCTCAACTTTCCCAAGATAAAGTACTCATTATCATTAAAAAGGGTTTAAGCAGCATGCTGACGGATCTACACAAAATATACCTCCATGCTCACAAATGCATAGACAATTGGACATTAAATCAGAAACAATGAACCTATCATATTCCCAAAATACAACAAGATCCATTTTTGTTTCCAATAAGTCTAGCCATAATGATATATGCAATCAAATTGCAATACTGGTATTCGCAAAGGCTCCAAAAGAGAGAATCCCAAAAGGGATTATGTAAATTCATCTTTTAAAAGGAAATCCTACAAGCAGTTTTCAAATCAAAAGCCCATGGAATAAATTCAATTTTTTCTATTTGCTAATAGGGTCTCAATCATCAAAATTCACTAATCATGGAAACAATTGAAGCAGATTCCTGATGCCCTCTAATGTACATTTTGCCATGCTAAGGAAAGGGTTTATCTGCAAGGATCAATGAGCCTCCACAAGTACATACAATGGCTTGCCGTTCAACCGCTCTCGACCCTGCACCATCCAAAGCTATGTCATTAACTTTATACTCATTTACAAATTGCATTGTATAATTTAACACAACCCAATTTCATAACTCGATTGTTGCCTAAAACAGCATTACTTTGACTCATTAGCCATCTAAAGATACTATGTAACCAGCTTTCTCCACTAATACTAAACTTAGAGCTCGATGTTTGAGATATGATACATCCCTTTCAGCAATAATATTGCTTACACTCGCAGATTCATGGATATATTAGGCCATCATTCATGGCCATCTCTTGAAAGAATTATAAATTTTATAAAATGCATAATGATTAAATCAACAAAAAAAAAAAAAAAATAGTTGGGGTGGAAATCAAAGAAATATAATGTAATTTCCCTTTTAACAAGAATTATTGTGCTATTTAGATTAGCAATATAACACACCTTTAGATCTGGAAGCTCAATGACACATGCACATTCAACTACTTCAGCCCCAACGCGTTCTGACAAAAAACATTAAATGTTACAACATATTTAAATGGCTATCCACTACAAAGATATCTAAACAACGATTTAGAGACAGATATTATACTTAAAAAACATAAAAATGGACAAGAAAAACATACAATGATTAGCTGATAAATGTCATCTAATATTTAGATCTCAATAGCAATGTTCCCATACTGGTTTTAAATTCAAATGATCTTCTCAATATATCTTAATTTATTATTATCAATAAGTTGAAACAACATTTCATGCGGGTTTTTCTTGAACAGCATATTTTTTTCTCACTAAAGAAAGCTCAGTGATTCATGTAACCATGTAAAGATCTAGAATTATACCCCATTCCAATACTCAATCTCTACAGGTATATACGTTTACAAAATACCTAGTAAGTTCATGGCTGCACAGAGGGTGCCACCGGTGGCAATCAGATCATCAACCACCAAAGCACGTTCACCTGGTTCAACAGCTCCCACATGCATCTCAAGACAATCCCTTCCATATTCCAGAATATATTCTTCCGAAATAACTTCGCCTGACATTGTGGCAACATATTTTAGCACAATATGGGCAAAGTACAAGTTAACTATAACTTCTCCAATATTTGAAAGATATGTATGAAATAATTTTGTCAGCACTTGTGTTTTGGACACATCAAAATGATTGCATCACATAGAAAGCATCAACAGAACATTATGCATGTATGTTCTTGGTCAACACATGCAACATCACCATTGTTTTAGGCACAAGGCAAGAAGAAACAAAAATACCCCAAAAGTAAAACAGGCATAAACCAAAATTATAAATCAAGGTCGGTTTATCAGTATTAGGGAAGCTCCAAGCAGTGCCAAAGCATCACTTTGACATCCTATGTCTACATTAACAACCATCAATTGTAGATTTACTCTAATACAAAGCATGAGCTGGATCAGGAAATACAGAACAATACAAAGGATGAAAACACATTTACTAGAATATGTTGTTATATTTCTCCAGGTCCATGCATAAAAATCACAGTAAAAACTATAAAGAAATGCATGTACTCAACAACTATATACAAGAAATTGCTATATCAGATTTAAACTTACCAGGCAGTTTCTTTGGTTTTCTCAAAGGGACAAATTTTGCTCCTATAGCCAATGCAATGGAAGGACCAAATATAAAACCCCGAGCCTCTATCCCTAGAGAATAAAAAAGAATAATTCAGAACACAAAGGAGGAGATAGGATTTCAAACTGTAATTTGATTAAATAGAGCATACGTCACAATAGTTACAATCTCTAACAAAGAAAGGGAAATGATATATTTACCCACATGAGCTAATTACGAAGCTGATGTTTCATTTATGACAAGATTAGAAAAACAAGTGGGCCTAATTATAAAAACTATGACAAAGGCATCATAAATCCTGATACAGTATAAACTAAGGAACATTCAAGCAACGCCAAGAATTAAACACGATGTAGGATCTTTCACCAAGAAAAGAGACGAACAAATGGTTAATGACTTTAAATCAACAAAGTATAATTTTTCAAGGTAAATCAGGTTTCAAAATAGAATTTGCTAACGGTGCCAGAATGTAGCATGACAGCTAAAGTTTAAATACATACTAAGACACATTTCCAGATTGGACAAGTAATTAGAGTATCAAACTAGGTTACAGCCATGAAAGGCAAAAGAAATACATTTAAACAATTTCAAACTTGGACAAGTAGTTAGAATTTTGAACATGGTTACTGCTGACAGAAAAAAGAAACTTTTACAAAACAATCTCATTTCAATAATGAACAGTCACTCTAAAGAATCCACATCCTTCAAAGTTCAAACAACTTTATATCCACCAGCAGTTGCTAAAAATGGCACTAAGGAAGCTGTAAGGTTAAACATTATTTTGAAACATTTAAGATTTTGTTTGTCTTTCATTGAAACATAAACTAATATTAGACAATGAACAAAAAAATCCTGAAGAGACTGACTTCAATCAAGACAGCTGACAAGTTTTGATACATACAAAGGTTTAGTAATACAATGTACAGACAAGAACCAAGACAGAATACATGAAAATTGACCCTATATCAAAACTTAATTCATATAGAACTTGAGAAAGCAGACGCCAAAATGGGTTAACATGTATGAAATTATAGATGTATCACTGTGCTCAACTGTTTTTTAAAATATAAATATGATCCTATGACATCAATGTTGGCAGAGAACCAACCATGATAATTAACAAACATCTTTCAACAAAATGATTAAACTGCTAAACCAGTAATAGGTGTTAAAGTATCTCACAGACACCATTAAAGACCTAGAAAACCCACCACTAAAAATTTAAAAGAGATGGAACAGGTTATTCCACCACTATGCAATGACAAAATACTTAAAAGTGATTTGACACATTGCAAGTATCATGCATAGGGACCTCATTTCTTTAAACAAGAAAAAGAGCTCATTGCAACAAACAAGAAGAGGTGCTCCAATCCAAAAGAAGTGACTAACAATGACAAATAACAGAAGGGTCTGAAGAGGGAGATCAGATGGAGTTAATCCAGTAAAATGAACGAAAAAAATGTTCAACCATCATTTGACTGGTTTTGCTATCTTAATATCTTGGAGTGAATGTTTCTCATCCAATACAATGGCTTCATTCTTCTGACAGGATATTCAAGTCCTGTTACAGCTAAAATGATTGCACATTTCTCAAAGAAGAATACTGTAGCTAAGACTAATTACATTCCAAAACAGGTTTAAAAATTAAAGAGACAGCAATTTCAAGTTGAACCAGAAGAGAGTTGAAGATTCAAAAAGTTTACATTGAAGCTGAGCATGATACAAACATAAATTGGGTCTTGTAATTGTCAGACCTTGATAGCCGATGGACTCCACTGAGAAACATCGACATCAATGACATTGAAATGAATATGCTAATCGCTATCAACCAACAGAAAAAGTCACATCTTTCCATGTGAGGATACAAAATATGCATAAAGGCTCTCATAAACACAAGAAGACAATACATGTCCACGTGAGCACACAAAGAGACAGATTCAATTGCACACACAATAGGACAAAATACATTTATCATAAATCCTGATAAATTTATTTTGAACCCAATTTCACAAAAATCATCAAGTTCCTTCCAATGATGAGATCATTGAAACCTTTTCAACTTCACACGGGATTGTGGGAGTAATAGTAGTACATTTGGAGGTTTCCCATGAGATATAAGTGCAATACAGCAAATTATGGTGAACTAATCAAATTGAAACTATTCAATAGAAATGAACTCCATGATATCAAATGCCAGAAAACTACAACTCATTTCAGTGAACCAAACACAAGAATAAAGATTACTTATGCAACTATTCCTGAGACAAACAAATTTATCAACAACGCCAAATAATAAAACGAACTGTAAAACCCAAATAAACTCACAACCGTTCCATAAAAACGTCAATGCCACTGAAATTGCAACAATAAAAATTAAGAGATCACACAACCATGCATGACAGAAAGATAGACATAATGACAAAGAGTATGAATGAGCCACAGAACCAATTTCAGCAAAACAGTAAAGCGTGGAAACCCACTTCATAATGGAGGGAAAAAAGAAAAGAAAAGAAAAGAAAGAAAGAAAGAAAATTGCCTAATCAAAACCCACATCATGCAAGGGTCCACCTTCAACAAGGTGGACATCCATCACCAACCACCAGCCACCCAAATCGGATCCAAGCATATGCCCACAACAATTGCAAGAAAGAGGGTTAATACAAGCCGCTCAAAAGAAAGATAGAGAAATTTAACAAAGAGCAATCAATGACACACCCCACTAACAAAGTAAGGTTCATCATAGTCAAACGAGAAATCACTGTAAAAAAAAGATAATAAATAAATAAATACATACATAAAAATAAAAACCCAGTCACCTCCCTTCCATAATGTCTCTCAAAAGCACTCAAAAAGACAACAACCGGAAACTTATGCAATTGCAAGAAGCATTTTACTTTTTTATCTTCTTTTACTGTATGTACACAGAACACCTATTGGCCCCACCATTTTGAAGCTGATGAGAATGATAAAAAGGTTCTTCTTTTAAGTTCCAGATCAAATCTTTTATAATTCTAAAAAGAAAAATACAAAGTTTCTTTTTTTCTATTTCTGAGGGTCTTACCTGCAACAACTGAAATATTTTTTCCTTGGTATCGCTCGATGAATATATCGACGGAATCTTTGAATGCTTTGGGTTCCAGAAAAAGAGGAGTGATATCTTGAAACATAATACCTGCCATTTTGCCCTTAGCCATCTTAGTCCCAGCTTATAAAACAGGAAAAATAGACATGCTTTGGTTGGTCAAGTAAAAATTAAAGAAACAAACTTTAAGCTAAATATTTGTCCAAAGCTTAACAAAGTGGAGGTATAGTTCATTCTAAGTTTTCAAACAAAGAAAAATAAGATATTTGACAATGTTTTAGTTAATACTTCCCTTCCTGCCTAAGCAGCAAAAACATAACACATGTTTTTAAACATTTAAGAAAAACAAGTGATGTAATATAGAGAGTTCCATAAAAGAACCTGGTTTAGGGAAATCAGGAACAACACGAATGGTAGTTTTGATCCCATTGATACGAGGATCTTTGTCTTTGTAAGCGGACATTGTATCTGTGTAACTATCTATCGAACAAAACAAGGAAACAACAAAAGCAGAAGCAATTCTCTCAATCTCTCTTGGGAAGAGGCAGTGGAAATAGATACATTGAAGGAAAAAGATATGGAAAATAGAAATATAGTATGGACTATGGAGAGAAAGAGCAGTGAAAAGGGGTATTTATAAAGAGAGAGGAAGGGGGAGGGGAGGGGCTCACTGAACAAGAAAGAGAGAGAAATATTTTCGATAAGTTAAATTACAAATACAAATACTACTTTTCTAATACTTCCATCACCACTTCGCCTATCCATTTCGCGCGCTCCTCCACTTTCCTTATTTTACATTTTACTCTTTTATCTTTACTTTATTTCCTTACTTGTTCCCACTCACGCCGAACCTATTTAATATTTACTAATTCATTTCAAAAACTGTCAAAATATACCCTGAACCCTAACACCGTCAAATTAAGTTATAATAGTTCAGGGGTATTTATTTCTATCACTATTCTAAGAACTATTTAAAAGAATTAAAAAATTGAATTACAGTGAGGCCAAGATGTACCAGGTTCCAGTTGAGCGTCACAAAAATTTTCAAATTCAATGAGAGTGAGGGCAAAGTGGTATTTTCATATTAATTTCCCATTTCAAGGTTACAAAACTTTAACACTGATAGGGTTCAGGTCTTCAGGGGTACAATGTGATGATTTATGTTTAGAGATGGCAATGGGTCTCATATTTTCGGGTGCCTGCCCGGCCCGACCCGAAAAGGTCGGGCTTTACATGGTGTTCACTGGTTTGGGCTTGGGACTGAGCCTAATTTTAAGGCTCGACCTCAGGTACGGGCTGGGCCTGGGTATGTCTTCAGACCTGGCTCGACCCGACTCGGTCCGATAATTTTAGTATTAATTTTACTAAATTATCTTTATACTATATATTTAATTACAAGATTATCCTACATATATATACTCATTTTTCCCAAACCCTAATCTCATCCCATTTGATGAGTATTAAAAAATAAATTAATATTTAAAAATTATTTTTAGAATTAAAAATATAAAAAAATTTTGAAATTTATTAATATTTAAAAATTCACATTATAAAAATAGGCAGGCTTGGATAGGGCTTGAGGTTACAAAAAGCTCGTCGGCCCAGACTTGGGCTTTACCTATCATATCCGTGACGCACCCAGGCCGAGCTTAGGCCTTTGTCATGAGGTCGGGTTTGGGCTTGGGCCAAGGGATACTCGGTCCCGGCCTAGCCCATTGCCATCACTATTTATGCTATAATAACCATGAACTAAAATATTAGCTAAAGGTGAGGGGTAGGTTTTGAAATTCTCCCATTTACTAATATTTCCCTTATTTGACAAATAAAATTATGAATAATGACGTAGGGTTAAGATTCATAATATTACTAATAATTTGACCAAAATGATCACATCTATATTCTCCATCTTCCCATTAACTTATATTGCCCTTTGTCTAGGTGATCTTTAAAAATTTTAAGACTCAGCTCATCAAATTGTCCAAAAAAGTTTAAAGAGTTTTGATATTATATCATTTTTCAATATAAAATTTTAACAATTTTAACTTTTCATCGCATAAAAACACATGTTAAATAAACATAACTCTTCTCAAATACTTATCCAAGATTTCACATCTCAAATCATGTGTCATCATATGGACATTGTCATATCATTCAATAAATTGTCACGTTATTTACATGTTATTACCACGTATAAAAATATATCATTTAAACATAAAATTTGAAATAAATTATGAAAAGAATAATAATATTATTAAATAATTTATGTATATGAAGAGTAGTATTATTGTTAAATAATTTATGTATGCATGTTGTAAATGCATTTAGTATATAGTCATTATTATTTTATTGGTTTTGTGGTAGATTTTGCCTTTTAGATTTTTTTAATGTTGGTTTGGCTTGGTTGATGTATTAGTATCGTGGTGCTTCACCTTAATATTTGAGTAATGGCACACACACACATATATATATATATATAGATGAATTGATATAACAATCTTGTATGTTTAATATTAATGGTAAAGTCAGGATTTTCATTCAAGATTGGATTACATATATTAAAACTTTATAAAGCCGTATTGTACATTTTTTTTCTTCCCATTATGTAATGATAATTTACATTAAAATACATTTAATTCATTTTACACTTAGTTAATAACACGATTAAACCTTTATGATTAGCCTGAGTTATTTGAATAAGATAGATATTAGTCTTAATATCTTTACTTATATTTAAAGTATTGTGTATTTAAAAAAAAAAACATACATTTCTTTTTACCAACAACTATATACACATAGCAAATTTAAATTATAATTATAAATTTTACTTATGATAAATATTCTTGTGTGATAAAACTCTTAATCTAATATAACTTTAAGATTTCAAAACATACTATTATTAGTTTCATTTTAAATTGCAATAAAAGCTAGAGAATGAAGGAAAAAAAAAAAAAAAAAGCCAAAATAATGTACTTTAGTAATTGTGTATGGATGATGAATTTTGAGAATAATTTAATGAAACAAAATTATATAAAAAACTTAAAGAAAAAATTTCAAAATTTAGGAGGGGTGATGGCCAAGGCTGGCTTCATCCGTGTTGAATATATTATCTACATTAATTTATTTAATTTGTCTTTAATTTTAAATCATCCAATCATGTTATAACACATTAGTTTGTACGAGTAAATTTATATAAAAACTTTGTGTATTTCGTATTATTCTCCATTTTTTTTTTTTTTTTTCTTTTGGCTATAATGATAAATCCATTATTAGATTTATGCTTTTTATGATTTGTGTTTTATTTTTTTTATTCCATAAATGCAATTTTTTCTTGCTAATGTTTTCTCTTACATTCTTTCTCTTTTCTAGATATAAGTTCATTTGTGTGTTTTTGTTGGCAAATTATGTGTATTTTGTAATTACGATAAATGTATTTTCTATTTCTGGTGTTTCTATTACATTCTTTATCTCTTCTTCCTTTTTCAATTTGTTTTCTAACTCTAATGGTAGATCTATAATTTTTTTGTTTATTTTTGTTGGTAAATTATGGTGTTCATTTCTCTCTCTCTCTCTCTCTCTCTCTTTTTTTTTTTTTTTTAATCCATAATTTTATTTTTTAGTTTAATGATTTGTATTGCTTTCTTTCTTTTCTCTTTTCCTTTTTCCTTTTTCTTATTTATGCCTATAATGGTAAATTCATAAATAAGTTCGTGTATTTTTTATGGTGTGCACTTTGATATATAGTCTATTCATTTTTTGATAAATCCATTAATGTTTATAAACATGATCCCTCCGATCGGTGTACTCTCTCATTCTCTTCTATCTTGTGAAGAAGGAACCTCTTTCTAATCTCTCATAAACTTGGTTCCTTTTATCGGCAACAACTTTGTATATGTACGTTCACAAGCTCCCCCATAAGAGCATGTGCCTCTTAATTAATAGCAACTCTGTACGTACGCTCACAAACCCGCCTATAAGAGCTTGCGCCTTCATCAATTTATCTCCAAAACCGATCCTTCGTGTGTACCTCTCAAAGCTCCCTTTAAAAGCCGGTGAAGCTTTACTTATAGCTTCCTTTTTAAACTGCCTTTTAAGCAACTTCCCTTTGAAATTGCTATTAGAATTTTAATTAATTCAAATTCATTATTCATTATTCATTATTCATTATTTGCTAATTGGTCCTACGCTTTTATTAAATTGTAGTTTTAGTAAATAGATAACTGATGAGTAGTTACATGCAGTTTTGATGAAAAGACTTGTGTGTATTTAAAAAAGGGAGAGGTTACAGGTCTGCAATTTGACGCAATTCCATTTTCTGATATATCCAAACTATCGTTCAGAAATTGTAGTTAATTGGAAGAATCTGTAAGGCTTGAGGAGACCGATTTGTGAAGATCTACGACAAAGTTGCTATGGCGGAAGGTTAGTATTAAAGTTAAACTTACTTCCGCAATATTCCATGAGTGTTTATAACATGTGTATGATTATTAAATTGTGAATATATACATGTGATGATGGAATTGAAATTTTAACATGTGGTATCAAAGCATGTTTATAATCTATGTCTGACATGTTGTTGTAAAATACAGTCTATATATATATTTAGTACTGTACAGTGTGATTATAGTGCTTGTTGATCTTTGATGCATACTGGAGTTTTTGAAATGGAAATTTGGAGTATATTGCATGAAAATCATAATATATTGATTAAAACTTGTAACTGTAAATTGTGCATAACTTTCAGTGTAAAGGATATTTGTTTTCGCTTTTGGTATCATTGGAATCCTTGTTGAAACAACTTTGTAACGATATATTATTTTCCAAAAACAAAGTTCAAATTGTAAAGTTATAGTGATTTAAAGTTTTCGGAGAAATCACCGTTTGGGCTATTTCGGCCGCCGCTTACAGCGTCGATTTGGGATGACAGTAGCATCTAGTTGCCACTGACGTAGACCTTCAATCCACGCCCTATTTTCCCCTCATTAGATGCCAAAAATTTGGTCAGAATCAGGCTATAAAATTTTGCAGAAACCAGGTCAACATGACCCAGTCAACAAGTCAAATCGACCCAACCAACGATCAAATCGGGTCAATGGGGTCAAATTGACCTAATTTTGATCGTGGCATGTGAGGGCGTGTGGTGGCACACGAAAGGTTATGGAGGTGCATGAGGGTGCATGTGAGGGTTTTCATGGCGCGTGCGGGTCTTTTATGCATTAATAATGACATATTCTTGTCTTAATTTGTATTATGCGCAATAATATATGTTGTAATTATGTGATGTCATATGATCGTATATGTTTGAATAACTGAGAGTGTTCACAACATCTTAGCTATGATAATATATGCATTAAGTGATATTTATTATGATCATATTGAAGTTAATGACATCGTTTTGTAGTTAATCATGTTAATGTATTCATTTTACCTACAGGGAATGTTATATTTTCATGATTAATTAGGATGATATAGAAATTATTTTTATTTATTAATTAGTCTATAGGTATTATGAAATATTAATAATTTCTAGTTTCATTATTAAATGATAATGAATCATAATATGTAATGTCTTTACCTATAGGGAGATTTTATGATATGT